TGTGGTACGGGTTAGGAAAGAACCCATTCAATTTTAGGGCAGGTCCAGGACTTATTTTTCACTTTCTTTAACATTGAGACTTTTTTCAATTTTCTGTGATTTCTCAGATAATAATTTATGAATCAAATTTAGTGCGAGTGCAGTTAAAATATTCATTATCTTTTACCCTTTTACTTATGGAGGGAGGCCTATGTAATACATGTTGTGTTTTTGAATCTATACACGAGAACACTCACATTTATACTCAGGAAATGCATCATAACCTGTGGAGTCATTTTGAAATACGTTTGCAGGACTCGTCTTGTACCATCCATGATGGACAGTAGCCATTATTTGATATGAAAATCTCCCAGATGATTACTTTGATGAGTTAATATCCGCTTCATAGGTGTGCAGGTCCTCTCCCAGAGCCCCTGTAAATCCTAGTTAATCATCCTGTATTTATAGCCTTGGAAATGTAAAGGACACTAATGAATGTTTGTGCTGAAGCTGAAACACAAGAGCTCCAACCGATACTACATCACTGATTTCTTTGCTTTTTTGTTTTTCTCCTCTTTAATATACTTCTTTCATGACTCCCTTAGTGTTAGCTATTACAGATCCGGATACCATTTCTTCTTTCTAGTCAGTCGTAAGGTTGAAAAAAAGGATGGCAATTCTAACAGGAAACACATACAAGTGTGGCGACCCTGCTGTCCAATCGATACCTAATACACTCCGCTCTCATTCCGACAGGGAGAGGCTGTGGAGAGCGAGGTAGTTGCACAGGAACCCTGAAATAGCTCGTCCAAACAGAAACAGTTGTTAGTGTAATGTCTTCCAGTGTAAAACGTAGAGTTGACAGACGAAATCAAATGAGAGTTTTCATTTCCTCGCAGCCCCCACTGTAATTCATTATGTCGTAATTACTCCACGAGAGCAAATTTGAGCAAAAAGGATCAATATCAATTAATTTGCTAATTTTGAGCATGGGTGGAGGAAGACAGATGGCTGTGCAGAATGCAAATCTGTCCTGAGAGGTAATGGTAATTGACTAACACTTGTGTGACACCACAAGCATGTTGTACTGCTTCTTGCACATGATGTTTACTTTGATCTAAATTGATTTTTCCCAGGCAGAAAGCAAAGTTTCTTAAATACATTTTCCTGCTGCATAAATTAGATTAAATATAATGAAGAAACTGAAGATTGATTGCTCATATCTTCTGCCCTGATTTATATTTAGCTTGATCTTATTTCCACAAAGCATTTCTAACTTAATATCCTACCTAAAGAACAGTAAGATTTGTGTGTTTTAGATATTTTTAACAAGGTTATTCATGTTCTTGTTCTAAGTGATCGCTGCTCATTGTTCAGGGAATTCAACAAGCTCATCTTCAGTCAGCACACACCAGCAGTACCCAGTCAGCTGCTGCTGACCTGCGGCTGATCCAACAGCGTCCTGCACTGAGCTCCACTTTCAGGGGCAGTGATTCTGCATGTTTTTGTGCATTTAACACCACTGTGTTTTGGATTTTTAATATTCAGATAGTATTTAAATTTGACTCTCCAGGCTGCACACAGGGACCCACTGACTAAAACGTTTGTTCAGGTGTCACATGGTAATAAGTAGAGGGAGCTTAGGAGCCTGGTTAATGTGTACAAACAGAATTTTGTACATGGAAAGTTGACCATGAGTTAAGTAAGTTGAGATAATTCTGTTGCAGGGTGAAAAGTTATCTATCCTAGTTTTGAGTTTAGGGCAATTCTTTTCAATTAGATTCAAGGCTGTACAGGGACAAGAAATCCATTTAAAATCAGAAAGCACAATTTAAAAAAAATAGTTTGAAATCAAAAGAAAGAAAGAAACAGAATATAAGAGGTAAAGAGATTAAAAAGAGGCAAAATAATTTAAAAGGATAACTATGTGTAATAATGAAATAATAAGACAAGGTAATAATACAAATACATGTTTTCATGGTTTCAACTGTCATGGTTTTTTAAAATACTTTTGTATTTAATACCTGTAGATGAATAATTTGCGTGTCAGAGTTTCAGGAATATCAGAACCATTTTGACTGGACATTCGGAGCCTTACCAATGCCAGTAAATGATGATTCTGCAACATGGCAAAGGTTAATATTGATATCAAAGTATTTTATATTTCTGAATAATACTCTTTGTCTTCTATTTGGGGGGATAAAAACGACCCTTGTTTTGGGAATGCAAGCGAGACATATATTGTTGCCATGGTGTCCGTCAGCTGTGGGCTACAACTGGAGCCCATGGAGATAAGAGTTGGATTGTTCTCCCACTTCCATTGGTTCTGTTTGTATTACAGCAGCTCCAGAGTCAGATCTCTACAACTGATCTAACAGTGAATTAGGCAGGCACTCAAATACCAATGCTATCTCTGAGATATCATCTGCAGTCGCAACAAAGCTGAAGGGGAAACTAATCCTCAGGCTGGTTCCCATTGATTTTGTTTTTATCATATTGGATCTACCAGTATTCTATTCTAAAGCATCCGTGTAATGACACATGCTGCAGGTGAATCATGGAACTTTAGTCAGACCAGAGGAAAGCAGGGTTTCTGGAGCGCTTCAGCACAAAATAAAACCACTAAGATTTTGTACATTTCCTCCTTTCATTTGTGAGGCCTCTGCCATCGGTTTACAGTAGCTAAAGAAGGAGACAGAATTGGACTCATGTTTCTGTGCACCTTGTGAATGCACATAACATTATCACTCTTCCACTTTATTTTTGTCTCCACACGCTCCAGGGGGAAATATTCATCTCTTTATCTGCTCAGTGCTCCACTATGTTAGGAGCTATTTGATAATTTTGTCTGTCTGCTGAACAGGGAGAGTACACAGGGTTTATCAGTTTGTTTGCAAATATTAAAAAAAGCTGCAGGCTCAAAGCTTTCCATAAACAACAGCTGCTGAGAACTGCTGACTACTCATTCGAGTCCAGCCAGCTATTGTTAATTTTTTATTCTAATAGTTTGGGTTGAAAAATGTTGGCCTTCATTTTACAATGACTGAAGACATAAGTCTGCAATGATTGCACATCCTCATAAGATGAATAAGAGCAACTTACAGTTTAACATGTCTCTGAACTTTAGTATTTCATTTTGACTATACACTGTGGGTCCATCCATGAACCATATTAGACATGGTCACTTGAACTGTATGTTCATGCAGGCGCAGTCCAACATGTTCAGATTGTGAAAATTGGAATAGATTAAAGTGCTGCTGCTTATAAAACAGGTTTTTTTACTATAATAAAATAACTTTTATTAGATTTAGACTTCTCTTTTTTTAGATGGTTTTAACTCTTAATCGAAGATGGTTTGACTGTGTTTAGTTTGCATTTTCCTAACCTGCGACTTTTTATGTAACATTTATCCCCTTTCAATATTTCATTGCATTATATACATTTCCAGGATTTGTTACTACTCATTGCCCTTATGCCCTTTAGCTTTGGATTGCTTCAGTCTTCAGGAGTGGGTTTTTTCTTTCTTTGCAGGAGCCTCATTATTGGCAGAGGTCTCCACCTCTCCAAAACAAATTGGCCTGTTAATTACTAATTAAAAACTGATAAACAAAACAGAATGAAGCAGTTTCCCTGTAAAAATCAGTGTATTTCTCACACAGGTCCGGTCAGGTGGGGCTGTGAGGAGCTGTTTGCTTAGCTTGAGTCTTTGAAAATTGGATATAAGAAGTCCGATTAATACAATCCCCCATTCAGTTAAAGGTTATATAGTTATAAGGTTATCGCTGTGATGTGACTTGAAAGAGTAAGAAAATAGTCAACTGGATATCTGGCAACGAACATGCACTTAATGACAACTCTGAGCATAAAACCTATAAGCTGCTTTATGTGTATGGTGCCAATACTGTAGCAATGTCATTTATGTGTATGTGTGTGGAGTGTTGTATAACTCTTTCTCAACTTGTTTTGCGCCGAGAGCTGGAAATACACACAAACACACACCGACACACACACACATTTCCCCCAAATATGTGCGATTCGAAACACTATTCTTAACAAATATTAAAAAAGATTAAAGTCAATCAAATGTTTCAGTCTACCTTAAAACCTTGATAATATGATGATGACCTCTGGCAAATAACACACATTGTACAGGTAAATAGAAATACTCTGCGAGTGCAAGTCAGATTCCTTTGAAGCTCTTAACGAAACACGTGCTTCAGTGGGTGGAAAAGCCATATGTGAAAATGCAGAATCAATATTTGAAAGCACAAAACAAAACTTGCTCAGGACACGCGTCTAAAGAAAAATGCTGCACAGTGCACCAAAAATACTTTGTCTCCATTTGGAAGGGAGTTGTTGAAGTGATACACATGCCAGCTGATGGTGGGAGTTTCTTGGCTCTGATTTTCCTGTTTAATACTCTCAGTTATGGGCTGTGGTGGAAGAGAGACAATCAGTGAGACACACTTTTTTCATCCCTGGATATTCAACAGCACTACCCTCATTCATAATGAAATTTCTGAAGTCATATTTTATAAATAGCCTGCAACCACTATTATATTATTACATTTGAAAGCTCATATAATGTATGAATCCTATTGTTGGCCCCACAGGTTGATTTTGAAAAGTCTGTGTGTGTGTATGTGTGAGTCAGCAGCTTGTGGTCTAAAGATAAAGTTTAATTAAGCTAAAAGCTTCACTGGCTCCTCCATGACTCCTTTCCACTCCCTCCTCCGAACTATTCTACCTCACCGGAAACTTCTGACTAATTGGACGCCCCTCTCCACCACAATCTTTGAGCCCAAATAAGATTAATGAGCAGAAACATTTCTGTGGCATGCACATATTCAATGCCCTCTTTTGGCAGCACTCGCAGACTCTTGGGCAAATTTCTTGCTTGGTCATGTTTGTAAACAAAAGCTGATCCAGAGGTTTTTAAGGGGTATCACCTATGACGCCACCGTCGCTTCTGAAATACTTTTCTGTCACTAATTTCTGGTGTCTGTCTGCTCTCTCCTCAGGTTATGGGCATGCAGCGCCGGGGACCGACGCAGGGAAGGCTTTTTGCATGTTTTATGCTGTCCTGGGAATCCCGTTGACTCTTGTCATGTTCCAAAGTCTGGGTGAGAGGATGAACACTTTTGTCAAGTACCTCCTGAAACGCATCAAGAAGTGCTGCGGCATGAGCATCACCGACGTGTCCATGGAGAACATGGTGACCGTGGGATTCTTCTCCTGCATTGGCACGCTGTGCATAGGAGCGGCTGCCTTCTCCCATTACGAGGACTGGAGCTTCTTCCAGTCTTATTATTACTGCTTCATCACATTAACAACTATAGGCTTTGGGGACTTTGTGGCCCTCCAAAAGAACCGGGCCCTCCAGAAGAAACCGCTGTATGTGGCCTTTAGCTTCATGTACATCCTGGTGGGCCTGACAGTCATTGGAGCCTTCCTCAACCTGGTCGTGCTCCGATTCCTGACTATGAACAGTGAGGACGAGAGGCGGGATGCGGAGGAACGGGCCTCGCTTGCGGGCAACCGGAACAGCATGATCATCCACATCCAGGACGAGTCGATGCCGCGTGGCCGGCAACGACGCGAGCCATACAGGGCAGAGGTGACTGATTTGCAGTCAGTCTGTTCCTGTATGCACTACCACTCGCATGACTTCGGCAGCTCTGGGGGAGGGATGGGAGGTCTGGGATGTGCCTTCTCCCATCAGAACTCATTCAGCTCACAGCTGAACCCCAATCAGTACTTTCACTCAGTTTCCTACAGGATCGAGGAGATCTCGCCCAGCACCTTGAAAAACAGCTTCTTCCCTTCGCCCATCAGCTCGGTGTCTCCAGGCCTTCACAGCTTCACAGACAATCACCAGCTCATGAGGAGAAGGAAATCTATCTGAACCCTGACAAACATGGGACAAATGAGTTTCCATGTTTTATACACAAGGTCAAACATTTCCAATGCTGCTCCTTACCAAATCTTATTTCAGCACTTTTTTCCCTGTTTGGTTGCAAAATGGTGTAAAATAAAAAGTATTCTTGGGATCAGATGAAGGACACTGCGCAGACAGCAAGCGTGGACACAACGGGATACAAAGCATGAAGCATGGATGTCTATTTTTTCATAAAGTCGCTCCATTTAAATAACGACACAAACTACAAGACCCTCCTTATTACATTTGCAGTACAAAATTGATATATTAACTTTGGTTTCATACCAAATGATGCACACTTGGGAAAATGCTATTTTTCGAAAAGGAAGTATGCTTGTTTCACCTTAACTTGAAGAAACTTTTGCCGTTATTTACGACTCCATTGCCTCACTGCAGACAGAGAATTTAAAATGACTTAAAGCATCAGGTATTGTTTTCTATAAGCAATCATATATTCCAATGGTTCCGCCACATATCAAGCCAAAATATTTTTGCCAATATTAGCATGTGCATTAGATGTCATTTAAGTAAGTGTGCCATGGTTTTGTGACATTCTTTGGTCTGTTTTCAGAACAGATGTATGATGGGCATCTGTTTGTCTTTGATTCAAAGGGTCATGCTGCTGTTATTGACATTCACCCCTCACACTAAATCTGATCTGGCCACAAAAGCTTCAACTTCGCCCACTGACTTTTGCAGAAAGAGTCAAAATTGTTCTAAAGACAAATCTGCCATTTCCCCCCAATATTTGTTGGTTATGTATTTTTATCCTAAGACATTTATACCCAATATGTCAAGTCAATGTGCAAAGGCTCCTCTTTACATTGACCGTTTTGCAGCAGTATTGAATAGTCATATGGGAATAACTGCTGTAAAAGAAGCGATACCAGTTTCTGTATTAACAGTCATGTAAACTGACCAGAAGACATCACCAGTGATATATAACACAGGGGTAATTGGGTGAGTTGCGGCAGACACCTGAGTTTTAGCCTCCAGAATGGTTCAGGCTCCATAATACACAGTCCTACAACTCTAATGATGCAACAATGTGGCATCTTTCATTAATCCTTCTGGATGAGAAGATTGAAGCCAAAACCACCCACAGCAGACTATAACTGTTCACAGGTCTCCTAAAATAGATGTTTATCTGCAACAAAACTACTGAAGCTAATTTATTTCTAATAAAGATATGTGGTTTATTGACATTTACATGATGTTAAACATATGTGTTTCCTTCTGAGATATCTGACCTTACAGCTCAGTAATATTTACTACAGCCTTATTACACTTTTTTATGTTTACATTTGGTCTCTGCTAGCATTTGGTTAAGGTGAGGGAAAGATTTTGTTTTAACAAAGACAAACACAATATGGTGATTCATACTTGATCAAAAACATATTTTTTTTCCTGACCCTAATCTCAAACTGCTTCTGTTGCCTAAACCTACCAACAGACTCTGGTTGTGAGGAGTTCTCTGGTTTGTACATCCGCAGTTCACCCAAACCAGAGATGATGGAAGTCAGCCAGAGTTGGGGGTGCTGAGAGAAAGTCTATAAAATACAGTGCAGGGTTTGAGTTTTATTTTTTATTAATTTGAGTATTCCATACCAGTTTTATTGTTTTAAACTAAAAGACTTTAATCTTGGCTTTAGGGCCATATTAATGATTGAGAGATGCTCATCAAACTATTACTACCACTAAAATCTGCGATCCTACCAGATTGCATTATATACGACACATACTACATGTGTGCATTGCATAGGCTACACAGTTAATTCACTGAATACAATGAATAATTATGGGTGGATGTTAGGGCTACTACTATTCTGCTCTCAAACATTTCTTTTGAAAATACAATTTATTTCGTTTAAATTGATTTGTTCAGAGAACTTTTTTGAGTTGCAATTAAAGCCGCTCACCATGAGGAAGTGCTGCAGCTCCCTCAGTACCCCGACTTCCAGCGTGTTTGATCCCAACCACCTTATGGCAACTCTTACTCCATTAATAAACGTAGCGCTTCATTAATTCAGTAAAATTCTGTTGCCTCTGAACATAATCCAGCCAGCGATTACTTTTCATACAAAAAGGTTTGCTGTTGCTGTTTAGATGTATGGAAACATAATTTTCTCAGAGATGGAGTCATTAGCTGTGAAGAGTAAAGTGAAAACCATCATGGGAAGTTTAAACTTAGGCGTTAGGAACACACACACACATTTTTCAACCTGCAGCTACCAAAGTGCAATTACATTTTTCCAGCTGACTTTAAAAGCAGAGTAAATGTTAATCAGAGGACAAGCGTGATCATCCCTCAAAGTCACCGCAGAGTACGTGATGTATGTCCAACTAGCAGCTGACCCTGAGTCAGATCTCACAACGCAGCACTGAGAGAAGAACTGTTGACTGAGACTGGGAGGCATGCCGATCTTAGGAAAACACAACCTGTTCAATGTATCACTACGGAAACAAGCTAAAGAGTATGAGTTAATGTGAGGGGACAGTATTATTAAAAAGAAGATAACAGCAGTATGGTTCTTTCAGTGTCTGTAAAATACCAGGGGAAGAGAAGCAATTTGGAGGATTGTTTATGTCTGAAAGATCTGATAAGTGCATGAACTGTTTGTGATGAATGGGGAAATGATTTCAAAATAACTTTAGAAGTATTTTATTGGCAAATAGTCTTAACAAATGATTTACAACATACGCTGTTTCTTTCAGCCAAAGTCCAGCAGTTCTTAAAGGGAAACACTGTAGTTGCCTGCTTTCAAATTTTCCTTTCAGAGAAAATGTACAATAATGTTTGTTCTCAGGTTTGAACAAATAACTTTTTTCTTTTCCTTATGGTTTACTCCTAAATCAAACACACTCCCAGAAGTGCAAATGCAAGTGCATCGGCCAAACAATACAATGTACATATCAAAATCCTTGTTTCCAAATGGTAGGAATTTCCTTAGAAATGCGACTGAGATGCATCATCTCACTGAGGCAAGTGCTGTGGCATCATTTGTGAGAGCCACAATAGCTTGAAATTGTTTGATGCAGTTCTGGATATTAACGTTGATTATAGGCCTGTTATAAAGCCCGAGCCGCCTTTTCTGTCACAGCTGGCCCAGTGTTTGCTGTCAATACCTTTCACTATTCATGAGCTCCCTAGTTAAGCAGGATTTATGTGCTCAACATTATTTGTAAATGCATTTTTAGTTGTAATGTATATTTAAATATGTATCTTTGTAAAGACTGGAGGAAAGGTGACCTTTTTATGTTAGCACAGGGCTGGGAGCTATTTTTTTATTCCCTTAGCGAATTCTGTTCTTCAGAATCAATCAATATTTCTGGAGGATAACAATTCTTGCTACAAATTTCTGGACCTCGACTTTAAAGAAGCATTACCTTCAGTATTCTTTGCAGCTTAGTGTTTAACAGGCTTCTATTAATTTCCTGCATAGCTGAGCATGCCTCACAAGTTGAATGCCACTCTGTTTGTGCAAATGGTAAAATGCCATGGATGCTATTCAGTCAAGACGAACGTAACCAGGCATGGAGTCCGAGATAAGCCTGAAAAGCATTGTTTCATTATCGGAACTATAGCGGCTTATCACAAATATTCTGTACAATATGTTTATAACAACCTTTGGAATAAAATGGCCTTTTCATGGCTGAGATGCATATGTATTTTTACACATTAGCATATGTGCCTTGAAGAGACAGTAGTCAGTGTTTCTGTTGAAGTGGGCACAGTTTAATATCATGGCTGCGGATCTGTTTGTGCTTTAGCCATCAGACGCTTGTGGAGGTAACAAGAGAGCAGATGTGGTTAATGTATCGACAGATCTAAGTCCTGACAAACACATTCATTTGAAAATCTATATCTGATTTATCTTCTGGAACCAAGTACACACTCAGCAGACTGAATCACTTCCTTGCTTTTGAAGACGTTCTCATTTTAGGGTGACTTCAAAGATAATTCAACCTGGTTCTTCTGTTTTCATAGTTTTGGCTGTCCTTCCTTTCGATTAGTAACAGTACGGTGCTCACAGAGGCAACTGCTGAGATCTGGGAAAGTCACATCAATGACAGAGAATGTGTGGTAGTAGGTTTAGCTGATCACTGAGCTGCGGAGATCCATTGCTGTCCAAAAACTACACGGCCCACAAACTTGCTGCTTAACAATATGTGCGCCTGCAGGCGTCGTTAATGTTATTGATCAAGAGATATAGTAAGTAAAAGTAAGTAAAATATCGACCCTACTTTTGGCTCTGATTTGGTCGTCCGACATAAAAAAACAACACGAAAACAAAACACATCAGGTTCTTTAGCTTGTTAGATATTTCAGCTGTTTGGTTGCACACTGTGACTTTATCAGAGCTTGTTTTTCTTCACTGAAAAAAAGCTTTTTATTGCATCGGAAAACCGTGTAGCTCAAGAAGGCCTAAAAGCCAAACATGTATTCAATATACACTTAAAAGGCAATGTAGAGCTGAGGAGGAGTTTAGACTGAGGTGGTAATTATCTCTGGCTTTCACACTGTGAGCAGTACCTTATTGCACATGGTCATGGGAGCCAGGGTTTACATAGAAATATTGACAAGTGCAGCTTTAAAGATTTCTATCTTCAGCTGGAACACATGGGCTGTCATGAGTGTCCCCATCAGGGAATCAGAGGCTAATGGTTTTGTTCTTTTCATGGGATTTATTAAGAATATAGTATCACTTGCCTTAAATAACGCTCGTCAAGGTTACGTGGAAGAGAACAGAAATTCTTCATCAATCATCTTCCCTCACTGGACTTTGTTGTAATGTTGCTTTGTTCCCAGGTCTCAGCTGTTACCGTCGGTGATTACAACATTATCATAATGGCCACAAGTATGAAAAGAGGGCTCAAGTTGTCAGAAACCGATCCATCAAACACTTCCAGTACCAACAGGGTTGAGAGAATATCTAATCTATTAAGTGTCACTGATGATGATGAGTCG